AAAAAAAAAAAAAAAATGGAGCAACATCAATGTGGTCTTCTACTTTTCAGAGTTTTAATTTCATAATCATAATTTCCTATGATTTCCAGATCAAACAGTCGTACCATATACATTCTCACAGATACTGCTTTCCAAAAGACCTATTTTTCCTGCCAACAATATAGAGTGTGTAAATGTTACTCCTGCCCCAATAATAAATACATTTTATAAAATTACTGAACTCCAATAAGTTTCTTGTGGTATTTCACAAGACAGGGAAAGAATGTCAGGTAAGGAGGTTGACAAAAGATGTCCTTCAAATTTGGCATAGCTTCTACCTGACAAGTTTAATGAAAGAAATGGTTAGCAATTAGAAGGCAATCATATCAAAGCCTGAAAGGAAACGCAGAATCACAAACCATGATCAATTCAGAACTAAGGACATTTTTGTCAATGTTACTTACATCTGATACTTTAAAAGTGTTACTATAAATCTTGCCTTAACACGGTTGAAAATTTTAAATTGTAAAATATGCAGTGGTCTGTTATTGCAAAGTGAACAATACCTTTCAGCCTGTACTAGGAGAAACATTACAAAAGACAGTTTTGAATTTATACTGCGTACAACCAATGAACAATAGAACTGCAAAAAATAAGAGTCCAACTTCAGAACAGAGGATGGGGGAATCCCTAGCCAAGTGCAATAATTCAAAATACTGTGGATTTCAGTACTGAGTGTATTCTGCATTTCAACTCATGTTTCCCCTTTTGGATACAATTTTAAAATATTAAGCTTTCTCTTTTTGATTCATTTAACACATACTGAACACACAAAGTGCTAATCAGTGTTAAGGCTGTGAAGATGCCGCAGAAAACAAAGATACACATATATCTTGTTCTAACAGACATCAATTTTGGTATGTCCATTATCAGAGTTTTGTAAATGCCTGAACAGACGAAGGTGTCTACTGAAATGATAACTATAATTGTCAAACTTCTGAATGAAGCCCCATTGCACCACTTATAAAAGTTCTCTGCTACAGTGGTCCTGGGACCACTGGAGTATGACGCTAAGCGATGGAAGAACTACTGACTTTAACTTAAATAAGTGTTTTTCCCCCCTACGAGACTGGATGTATAATGTATAATCTGTGATAAATGGATTCTGTGGTAAATTACAAGACATGAACTCAAACTGAAGTGTGTACCACATGCTTCATATTTTTACTGTTTCTCTCCTTTGTGAACTCTCAGATGCCTGTACTCATGAAGACAGAGGAAAGACTTCACGACACATATCACATTACTAAGGTTTCTCTCCAATGAAACACATACAACCCTTCCCATACCTCCATGGTTTCTCTTCCATGTGCACACTCTGATGCATACCAAGATTCAAGTGATCTAGCAATCCCACTACTTGGTATATATCCAAAGGAAAAGTATGTTGAACAGATACCACAACAGCCAAGATACAAGATCAACCTAAGTGTTGAATGAATAAAGAAAATGCGGCATACACACAAAGTAAAATACTATTTAGCCATAAAAAGGGAAAAAATTGTCATTTGTGGCAACACAGATGAGCTTTGGAAGACATTCTGTGAAGTGATTTATAAGCCAAACACAGAAAGGTAAATATGGAATGTTCTCACTCATACGTGCAAGTTTAAAGAGTTGATCTTGTAGAAATAGAGAGCAGAATAGTGGTTCTAGAGGTGGAAAAGGGTAGGGGGAGGGGAGACAGCCAATGGTTAGTTAGCTAATACAAAAGCATAGCTCCACAGGAGGAATAAGTTTTCTTTCTTTTTCCCTGAAATTCCTGAGCCTCAAAAAGTGTTCTACAGCATTACAAGGTGACTACAGTTAACAATTTAGTGGTTATTTTCAAATTGTCAGAGGAGCAAATTACAAAAAAATAAATATTTGAGGACATGGATATCCTAATTACATTGAGGTGATTATTAAACATTATGCATGTATATACGATAATTTGATATCACATTTGTACCCCTCAAGTATGTAATTATATATCACTTAAAAATAATGACAAAAGCATATCGAGATTCAAACGCCTCTGGTAGCGCTTCCTACAGTCCATACATTTGTATAGTTTTCCTACACTGCGGTCTGTTTCTTGGTCTTTAGGGCAGAAACTGTGTACAAAGCTCTTCCCACAATCCTCACATTTGAATGGTTTTCCTCTACAGTGGAGTCTCTTATGTCTCAGAATACTTGATGCCCAGCAAAAGCTCTCACCGCACTGCTTACATTTATAGGGTCTCTCCCTCGTGTGGACCCTCTGGTGCACGTCAAGATTAAACTTACTGTAATAGCCCTTCCCACACTCCTCACATTTGTATAGCTTTTCTCCAGTGTGGATTGTCTGATGGGAACGAAGCTGTGAACTCCGGGTAAATCTCTTCCCACAGTCTTCACATTGGAATGGTTTCTCCCCACTGTGGAGTCTCTGATGTTTCAAAAGACATGAGGCCCAGTCAAAGCTCTTTCCACATTCCTTACACTTATAGGGTCTCTCCCTTGTGTGGACCCTCTGGTGAAAGTCAAGATCCAAGCTCCGTTTGTAGCCCTTCCCACACTCTGCACATTTGTATGGCTGTTCTGCATTGTGGGCTGTCTGATGGCAATAGCGCTGCGAATTTGTATAAAATCCCTTCCCACATTCTTCACATTTGAATGGTTTTTCTCCACTGTGGATTCGTTCATGGATCAAAAGACATGAGGACCATCTGAAGCTCTTCCCACATTCTTCACAACTATATGGTTTCTCTCCTGTGTGGATCATATGATGTTTAAAAAGATTCTGTCTACAAATGAAGCCTTTTCCACACTGCTCACATTTGTATGGTTTCTCTCCAGTGTGGACCATGCAATGACTAGTAAGTGCTGATCTCTCATGAAAGCTCTTACCACATGTATCACATCTGAATGGTTTCTTTGTGTGAACCATGGAATGACTGGTAAGTCTTGCCCTAATGCGGAAGTTCTTACCACATATATCACATTTGAATGGTCTTTCCCCAGTATGGATTCTTTGATGTTCCCGAAGCTGTGAACTGTAAACAAAGGCCCTTCCACATTCCTTACAGTTATAAGGTTTCTCTCCAGTGTGTAATTTGCAGTGAAGAGTAAGTGATGATCTACGACTGAAGGCTTTTCCACATTGCTCACATTTGAATGGTTTCTCTCCAGTGTGGACTGTCTGATGAGTTTTCAGTTGTGAGGTCCAACTGAATCCCTTACCACACACATCACACTTATAGCGTTTCTCTCCCGTGTGGACTCTCTGATGAATACGAAGAGCTGATCTGTAACGGAAACTCTTTCCACACTCATCACATGTGTGGGACTTCTCTCTTGAGTGTAATTGTTCATGAAGCTCAAAGATGGAGACATCACTGAAAGACTGTTTACACTCACTACACTGAAAAGGTTTCTGTTTGATGTCAATTACAGACAGTCCTGTCTCACCCTCGCAAGGGAAATCACCTTGTTTGGAGAACTGAGAGTTGTTTATCATGGAATCTTGAGACCTGGTTAAGTCACCTGCAATTTGTTCCCATATTTGCTGGCAGGACAACTCTTCATGTGGTCCTGCTTCTAGAATAGTCTCCATCTCAGTTTGGATCTTGCCTCCTATCAGAACACAGAATTAAGACATGTGGACAAATGAAACCTTTGTTCAGTGTTATCAACATTTCACACTTAAAACATGGCGTTAAACTTTAATGAACATAGGGAGCATTCACTTTGTGTTTTCCAAGTGCACCATGGTCTCTGGTATGCATGAGACCAATTTAGAACCACAGCAAGTCTCATGTAAAATCCTTGAGAAATAAAAGACTTAATAGAAAAATTAATGATACATACATTTAACCTGTTACTATTTCTAGTGAATTTCCCAGTCAGTCTAAAATCTACATCAAAAATTATAAAACTAGGCCGGGCGCGGTGGCTCACGCCTGTAATCCTAGCTCTCTGGGAGGCCGAGGTGGGCGGATTGTTTGAGCTCAGGAGTTCGAGACCAGCCTGAGCAAAAGCGAGACCCCGTCTCTACTAAAATTGGAAAGAAATTAATCGGACAACTAAAAATATATAGAAAAAAATTAGCCGGGCATGGTGGCGCATGCCTGTAGTCCCAGCTACTCGGGAGGCTGAGGCAGGAGGACTGCTTGAACCCAGGAGTTTGAGGTTGCTGTGAGCTAGGATGACGTCACGGCACTCTACTTCGGCAACACAGTGAGACTCTGTCTCAAAAAAAAAAAAAAATTATAAAACTAATTAAGTATATATGTATATGAAATGAAACATGAATCAAAAGGAACTCGAAGGAAAAGTAATAACATAATCAATACTTTCTATATTTGCATGTATACTGTATATCTGTATAAAGAAATTAACTAAGAAAGTGGTGTGACCTTTGTCCTCAACATCTAAGAGATAATCTCTAGGATCTTGAAGTGTCATGCCTGAGAAGAGTGTCTCTGTTTGCTTGGGTACAAATAGTGGGTCACTCTGGATAGTGAAAAAATATGATTTAGGGTCATGGCTGGCCACTCCTGAGGGTGGGGGGGTGGCTATAATCATGTGACCTAAACGAGACTGATTTACCACAAGGGACCCGAAAGGTGGAAGATGGAGGCATACGCAGAGAGGCGCAGGGAGCACGACTGTGGAAGAATGGTCGGAGATGCAAACTTGCTGCCTTTGAAGATGGAGGAAGGGAAATGAGAGCCAAGGAGTGTGGACAGTTCATAGACAATGATAAAAGTGAAGGTTACTTCTCAAGAGCACAGCAAAAGAACAAAGCCCTACAGACACCCTACGGGACTGTTGCCCAGTAAGATACGTCAGACTTCAGGCCTAAAGAATAGAAAGTTAATGAATGTTTGTTGTTGAATCCACTAAGTTTGTGGTAACTGGTTACCAAAAACAGGCAATACAATGTCCTTGGCAGGACTGAGAAACAGCAGGGAGGACAATGCAGCTGGAAATGACAGAGCAAGAGGGAGAGGACAGGAGGTGTAGCAGTCAGAGAGGCAGTGGGGGCAAAGAGCAGAGCACAGGGTCTCTAAAAGCCACTTAAAGAGGTTGTAACATTAATAAAAATAAGAAGCCATAAAAGCTGTTGGGCAGAGGAATGGCAATCTGACTTGTACTGCTCAGGGATCACTTTGGCTGCTATGAAGGGAACAGATGCCACGGTGGGAAGGGTGGGAGCAGGGCAACCAGCCAGAGAAGGCAGTTTTATTAATCCAGGAAAGAGGTTTGGCAATTTCCCAGAGCAAGGGAAACGGGCAGGACAGAAGTAAACAGATGGGAGAGTGATGTACAAGGACACACACAGTGGCTTTGTTCTTACCTGAATTCCCTTCTCTACGGGTTGATGTCCTCATCATCCAAAACTTTTCTTCTCTTAGAAAGTGAAACGCATCTCGGTGAAATGGTTGATGCCCTGTGAACATGCAAAGTCACATGTTTAATCCCAACACGTTCTAGGTAAAATTGACTGGGAATTTAGGTTCCCACTGCATACTCAAACTTAAACATCCAAGGATACAAAGTCACTTTTGGGACCTAATGTTCCATTACAAAGGGAGGCTGTCCTCACCCACTGACAGCAGGTTCCTGAAGTTCTCCAGCATCACATCTCGGTACAGCTCCCTCTGGGCAGAGTCCAGCAGCCCCAGCTCCTCCTCCGTGAAGACCACAGCCACGTCCTTGAACGTCACTGCCTCCTACAACATATACATATACAACCTCAGTGTCATGACCAATGATTACTGGGAGAGCAGTGGCACTGAGCAGGCAGAGAGGACAGGTGGGAAGTTGTTCTGGGTGTTGAGAGATGTAGGTCAACTCACAGATTCCTGCTCATTCTGTCTCTATCCTGAGAACGACACACACTGATTTTCCTGAGCTCTCCCAGGAGTGGAACAAGGAAAGAGAAGTCTTGGACTTTTACTTTGTGCAATCATTGAGTCTACTTGTAAGCAACCCTATCGGACTCTAAAATGCTGCATTCTGGTCTACCTGTAATCAGATCTCAATGAATCTTGCCAAATACCCCAGCAACATTTAGCAATTCAGTCCCAACCTTGTTTGACGACGCCCAGTGTCCCCCTCTCATATCTGAACCCTGGATGTTACCACTTTTCTTTAGTATTTGCCACATTAACAAGCTTAAGGTAACTGGGGGGTAATTTTCAGGGTGTCCTTGGACAAATTCTCCCCTTTCTTGCTTACAGTCCTTAAGAATAACCGCAGAACGTGCTAGGAATTCAATATCCCGAGACAGGGAGGGATTGTCTGCAGCAGCCTGAGCCTTGTTCCTGTCCCTCCGAGGCAATATAGTGTCTGGAGTTAGGGAGAAACTGCCCAGCAAGTCGTGTAGCCCCTGAGGCCTATAACCAAGGGTAGGCTGCCCCACGGGGTGCCTCGGCTGTGGTGCCAGTGGGCCATGCGCACTCTGGACTCCGTCTGCCCTAGTAGCCTTCCCGAGTCTTGAGGGCCTGGCCCACAGTGGATCCTAGATTCTTTCCTCCCTTGCTGCCTATCTGTAAGCAACAAACCTGCTTCGTGTAATTTGTCTTGTGAGCGTGCTCTGTCTCACCAGACTCACACAAACTGGTAATCAGTGAACCTGCTCCGCAGAATTGGTGCAGCAACGATATCCCCCAGGACTAGGCCCGGGGTGGAGATGGCAACCGGGGGGCGCAGGGTCCTTACTGGACAACTGAGGCAGAAAGGTCTAGGCCAAGTAACCAGGTGAACGGATGCTGGCTGTGGTAGTAGTCTCAGGATGGGGACAGAGAGCCCGCCTCACTACATCACTGCAGCCCAGCCCCTACCTAACGGCTGTCAATCTGCTGTTCCCACAAGGATGAGGCAGCAGAGGCCTAGAAGCATAACACCTTTGTTAGGTTCTCCCAAGCTGTGGCCACCTCAAGTAACCTGACAGAGTGTTCCATCTGCTGTCCAGAACCTTGTTCTGTCACAGGCCGCAGTGACCCTCTCATCCTGACAGTGGTAAACTCTACCAGCATCCCCAACACCACAGTGTAGGCCAACAGAACCCAAGCCCCGGTTTACCGAGTGGGGATCTAACACTGGCCACGTGGGAGAGAGCTGGAGGTGCCCTGTGTTCACTGGTTTAAGGTGGCCCAATTTCACAACCTCAACTAAGAAAGCCACCGGGGGCTGGTATTTTGGTATAGCACACTCCTTTGACGGGACTAGTGCTAGTCCCCTGTGGAAAGGCTTCATGAACCATATATGGGGGGAGCTGAGCATACACAACTGTGCCATGAATGAGACTTGGCTGGTAAAATCCAACGCCCCCATGCCCACGAATGGGTCACTGAATGGTAAATGAGTGAACGGAGGATATGTCACCCAAGTTCCATCTTTCCCTGCGATGGCCTAGGGGTGACCCAAATACAGGATGGACAATGTCATGCCTGCAAAGCTGGCAGATTGTGAGATCTTGAACATCATGTATGCCAAGAGTGGCCCTAGACATCATCCTGGGAACGGAATGTCCCACTGAGACGGCAGCATGAGATGTAGCCCAGACCCACTAGCAATCTACCAGGAGGTGTAACTGGCTCTGGGTTTATGTCCCCTATGAGATACTGGTACCACACAGAGAAGTCAATTTTCATGAAAAATGGTAAGAAACCTGTTCCTGATCATGGCAGACAGTGCTTCTTCCATACTTAAGAAGAAGAGACAAAGAATCTCCTCATTCTGCCGCTCTGTAAATGCAGGAACACAATACAGTGACTGGCAAATCATCTAGTACTGCTGGACATTTTAAATGAAGGCTCCCTACTACTTTGGTCAGACTGCTCACTGCATAAAGGAATAAGAAGAGACCAGTGAATACAATACATACAAGGTATGACTGAGGCATGGAGAACACACAATCTAGCTCTGCCTATAGGAAAACTTCAACAATATTTGCAAGAAGTAGCAGTTACAACCAGATGTGCTGTGCCTGTTGCAATATTCTATCTACAAAACTGCCAATGTGGTACATGTCAAAAGTATCCCATACTGTTTTAAGAATTAATTTCAGGGGAAAAGGTTATATTATACATAACTGTCACTGCGGTGTTTCTTAAAATAGCAAAACTCCTAAACCACCTAAATGTCTATAATTGTGAGGCAGTTATAAGCGCATATTAATTCAATGGGAATATGATGCAATCATAAAATGGAACATTATGTAATAATATCCAAAAACACGATTTAAGATTAAACATATATCATCAATACAAATATAGTTATGAATGTACATGAGGAAGAGCGTGAGAAGGTAAAAATAGCAGGGAGCTAATGAAGTGGGAGAATTGTTTATTTCTAGTAATTTTTCTACGACATAAAATAAACATTTAAAAAAATGCAAAATCAACACAAAAGGGACAGAGGAGGACTGTGGCCATGGATGGCGGCCATGGAATCCACTAAGGAGTGTGTAATATCTCATCTGCCGAATCAGCTAGTAAGCAACACATGAATGAATGAATGACAAAGAAAGCACTTGGCACACAACAGCTCCTCAAATGCCTGTTGTTCTTGAGTCTTCCCAAAACAGGGAAAAACACATGACAGTCTGAGTAGTGACATGGAATTTTAACAGCCAGAGAGGCAAGGCTTACTCACCTTGAATGTGGCCATTTTTCTCCCACTTCTGGGTATCTGAAGAGCCCTGAGTTCTGCAGTTAACAGGAAGGCAGAATCATGCCTGCAAAGTGGCACGGAAGATAGAAAAAGAGACATGAAAAGGTGGCTAGGGATATTGTGAATCAGCACAGGAATGTTCACAGCGCATTATTTATAATAACCCCAACTGCAAACAACCAAAATATCTGCCCGTGGGTAAAAAGATAGACAAATTGTGGCATATCCATGCAATGGAATGTTTTTGGAAATTCACTGCAGTACTGACTCATGCTATGACATGCATGAATCATGAAATCATTATGCTAAGTGAAAGAAGCCACTCTCAGAAAACCACAGATTGTGTTATTCCATTTACATGAAATGCCCAGTTTATATAGAGAGAAAGTAGGTTAGTGGTTGCTCCAAATTTGCAGTGAGAGTGAGGTTTGACAGTAAGTGAGCACATGAAGTCCAACTCCTTGTGGGAGGACAAAAATGATCTAAACTAAATTATGCGGATGATCACTCCACTCTGCAAGTTCCTAAAGATCATCGAATTGCACCCCTCATAGGGGTGAATGCTATGCTATGCAAAACAGACCTCACTAACGTTGGAAAAATAATTGTTAGTCTACACGTCATTTTGCTTAACAATTCTCAATTCTGAGTCCATATTGACAGAATATTTACATTTGAACAAGTGAATGAATAAATCGGGAGAAGTGGAAGCTCGTGTTTACAGCAGAAGGTTAATAATGTATCTCACCATAAAAAACTTTACTTAAAGAAAAAAAAGTAACTTTACAGTAGACAAATCTGAAAGACATCATCTTGGCCAAGTGAACCAAGTTGAGACCACCAATGAAGGGACATGCAACCGTTAGGTTGCAATGCAAAGAATACCTCGCCACGTTTGTAGTGTCCCCACCAAAAATATATAATCTGCACCTAAACGTGAAATAGACCAGACAAACCCCAAATGAATGTCTTTCTCCAAAAAAATTTGCCCATACTTTTCAAAAATATTGTATCAAGCATAAAAATGCAAAGGCTGTGGATCATTCCAAATTAAAGAAGACTATAGAAATATGACACCTAAAGGCATTGCATAAAATTGGACTTTGAATGGGGCTGGGGGTTGGGGGCAGTTATAAGGACATTAAATGAAAAACAGAACAAATTTAAATATGTAACTGCATATTAGATAACATGATGTTATTAATGTTATCTGGCACTATGTAATAAATAACACTGTTAGTAGTCTTTTAACAAATGTCTAATATTTAATAAATATTTTTTAGAATAATATCTAATATTTCCTAGCATGTTATGTGAAACCCTCTAGCCAGCCCTTCCTAAATGTCTCTTACCAAGATACCCCATGATCACCCTGGTATGTGGGCTTCCGTGCTGCAGAAAGCTACAATAAGCGGTGTCCCATTAGGGGATATGTTCCTGATGGTATCTGGTGACAGTCATCAACAAAGCAAACAGGCAAAATGTAAAAAACTGGCAAATTTTCATAAAGAGTATATGAGAATTTCTGATACTATCTTTGCAACTTTTCTATAGGCTTCAAATTATATAAAAATTAGATGTTTCAAAATATCAGGAAACAGAGGAATAATAAACAACCGTGAGAATAATAAGAATGAACATCATATAACATGGCGGTTCACTAGTTTATTCTTTCTTGGCAGTGTTTAAAAATTTCCCTAGTTAAACAGTTAAGGGGGAACACATTTGAAAAAATGATAAAAATTTTGATGCAATGTTCATAAATAAATATACAAATATGCACAAAGAAACACTAAAAAGAAATGCATTTAAAGCTTAACAGTTACTATCTTTACATCCTGAATTCATGGGCAATTAAAAAACTTTTTCTAGTCATACTTCTCTAATTTGTGAATGCTCCACAATGACATGGTTTTATAACAATGTGAAATACTTTTAATAAGTGAAACAAAACAGTTGACAAAATTTTTTACAACTCCTAGAGAAGCTGTCCCCAGCCCATTAGCCTTGCTCTCAAGATTCCTTCAATGAAGTCCTATCTTACTTTGCCTACCTCATTCCAGCTACTTCCTATGCCTCAGTAAGAATATACCCAAGAGACGATCAGCTCAGACCCAGGATCATACTGCCCAGGTTCCAACCTCAGTTCCACCTCTTACTAGTTGGTTGACTATGGGCCAAGAACTCGTGCACCTCGTGTCTCACTCTCAGCTTTAAAATGTAAGAAAGGAGAACCTCTCTACAGAGCCACAGCGTGGCATAAACGTACTTATTTGTATAAAGCCCTTGGAACGAAGTTAGCAATCAAGGTTTTATTATTATCAATACCCATGTCCAAGGACACAACCTACACATTCTCGGTTGAGGTGAACATCTCTGGAAAAGAAAAAAACCAAGTACCACTCACATAGAGCTTTGCTTTCAGGAGCTAAGAAGTTAGTCCACGAAGTCTTTTTTGAAAAGTTAGGCTGGGGAAAAGAATGTTGTAAAATACTCTGACTGCGTGGCTATCCTTGATAACAGTAAAACGCTCCCCTTCCTTTGCGGAAGACGGAAGCAAACTTCACCTTCCTAAAAAGACTGGCCAGAAGGTGTCTGAGATTATCCAGCATCCTGCAGGGATCAAACAGAAGGGCCCAGCCAGTGCAGCTGGAGCTCTGATCGCAATCTGGGGACCTGAGGGCTTCATGGGAAATTAAGAGATCATCACCCACAACGTGACTGGAACTGTTTCAAGGCTTTCATTTGTATACCTCTTTCAATTCCCAAAACAATTCTGTATAGCACTCACTTGGCATAAGTAACTCCATCTTAGAAGAAGACTCCATCTTATATTTCAAAAGGCATCATGTCAATGGGACCAGATGTTCACCTAATCAATAGAGACTGCCCCCACTCAGGGAAGGGCATAACCACACACACCCCATGCTTTCAGCCCTCACCAGTCCCCTCACCTTGAGGGGACTCAAGGACTATAATGTAAGGCTGGTGGCGGGCACCCCTCCCCTCCCTAAAGAAAAAGAGAAGCCCACCGATGACTGCCAGGCTCAGCTGAGTTAAAGAATAACCACACCCGGACGTTCACCCGGATAAGAGAAGTTTCGGTCCCTGGGGTCCACAAATACCACCGGCCCCTCCTACTTCTCAACACCCACCCTAAAACTACAAAAAAGGACTCCCCACTTTTCACACCAAAATTCTTCACCCCAGAAAACCCCCATCCCCCAACTCTTAAAACACATATAAGCCCGCTCAAAACTCTGGGGCGGCAAGACTTCTCTGGCCCCTCTCTCTCTCTCGGACTGTTGAACCTCGCCCGAGAGCGCTCAATAAAGCGACTTTGTTGGCCATACTTTGTGTCCACTGGTCTCTCCGTCACCGAAAAACCTTACATATAAGAAGAACAAGACTTTAGCAGCTTGACACAGTCATTGCAGTAGACACCATTCTGCTGTCATTCACGGTCAGCACCCAGCATCTGCTGCCAAAGACTCTGCCCAAACCAAGGACCCTTCCTTGAGAGACACAACCACCTAAATCAGCCCAGGACACTCTACTTGTCCATGTCATTCTCCTTGGACTGGTTCACTAACCCCTTTTCCTATCCCCCTTTCTCTTGATGTTAAATGTTACTCTGTTTGATGTGAAAATTTTAATCTATAACGTTTACGCATCAATTAAGGATACTACTATGTATGCTTTGCAATACTGATTGACTTGAGCCTGTATGCTCCAGGCTCAGACTACTGTAAACCAAAAATAAAATCCTAAGCCTCCCTCCCGACTGAACAGACCCCCTTTTGGCCAAGGGAACCCCAGGAAAAACTTAAAATTGAGTTTCCATTCACAGGCATGAAACCAACGGAGTTTTGGAGTTTAGAATTGTGAACTAAAATAAAATCTTAAGGCTCCCTGCGATGGGCTGACTGAATGGACCCTCCCCCCTCCACCAAGGGATACCCTAAAACTGAGTTATCGGCCATGAGAAGGGAGGTCAGACATACCTCATCATGCCCCCTCCCTTCTTGGAGATATCCTTTGTAACTCATAAACAGGCCTAAGGCTATACAAGATAAACCTGCTCCTCAATTTACATAACAAATATTAATATATGGCCAGTAGATTGTCCCAGATTAACAGACTTCCTTATCTTAATTTAAAATATTCCAAGTCTTTACACAAAGCTTCATTTCCTTAATGAATTACAAGGCAAAGAGTCTTTAAACCCACCTGTAACCTGTAAGCTTTGAGACGCCCCACCTTGTTGGGCCAAACCAACGTATGCCTTCCATATGTTGATTTATGACTTTACCTGTAATTCCTGTCTCCCTGAAATGTATAAAACCAAACTATAACCCAACCACAGGGAGGCCACTTGCTCAAGGCTTCTTAGGCGTGGCTCCAGGCCACGGTCCTCAGATTTGGCTCAGAATAAACCTCTTTAAATCATTTTACAGAGTTTGGTTTCTTTTCCATTGACAGAATCAACGAATGACCAGCATTAACGTTAAAACAGAGATCCTAAGACTGACAAAACACACTCCTTGTGACAATAAAATACTAAATTATTAACTATTAACGAGACAAAGGTTAAATCACACATACATGCCGCCAATTTGCTTAACAAATCACTCAAGTCTGTATACTGCAGCTTGTCTCTGATAAACACACTTCCTCATCTTAACTTGAAACATTCCAAGCCTTTAAATAAAGCTTTATTTCTTCAACCAATTACAAATCAAAGAAATCTCTGAACCCAGGGTAAAGCCCTCCTTGCAGATGTCCCGTTCAGCCTTTTTGGGCCAAACCAATGTATACCTTCCATGTATTGATTTATGATTTTACCTGCAGTTCCTGTCTCCCTAAAATGTATAAAACCAAAATCTAATTCGACCGTCTTCGGATCCCTTACTCAAGGCTTCTTGGACGTGGCTCCCCCGGGATGTGGTCACACGCACTGGCTCAGAACAAACTTCTTTAAATTATTTTACAAAGTTTGGGTTTTTTTCTTTGCTGTTAGCGCTACCAAGTGACTGGATAGTACTAAGAATTTCAACCTTAGGAACTACATGTAGCTTGTGGCTTTCATGATTAAACAAGCATCAGTGAAAGTCTGACTTTATGGAACTACACAAACGTGTGTGGACTTTGTTATATGTAACCTTGCGCTATTAAGGGCAAGTTATATTAGGATGGTCCTAAAAATGCCCGTTTTAAAAAACAGCAACGGGAGGCACGGGGAAATTCCAACGTTATATTGCGAGAAAATGGCCGCACACGTTGGGGTGGTGGGAGGCGGATTAAGGAAGTTCAGAGTCCTGGAAACCCTCAAACCAGGCAAGACGACCCGACTAACTCCCAAACCCCCTGGGGCAGGGGGCGCGAAGATAATTCCAAACACCACAAGCCTCCGCCAACGGGAATGAAACCCGCCGCCCTCTTCCCTCCAAACCTTTGCTCTCCGACGAAACTTCTTTTCCCCTTAGCCGATAAGCCAGGTTGTTGCGAGCTCCAAACGTAAGCGCACACGTTGGAAAAGACCTTCAAGACCCAGAAATGTCTCGAATTACCACGAAAAGCATAACACGCGTATGCTGCGGCAGCGTAAGTTCACGCGACTCCACGGGGTCACCGGACTACACTTCCCAGACTCCCTGGGTCAACCTGCCAA